CAATAAACAAAAAAGTCTAACTTTGTCGTAATTTAATATTTCAATCTGATTGATATTTGTCACAAAAACATCGCATTATAAGTAGTAGGTTAATTCACAGCCCTAGTAAAAATGTTTATCTGGACATTTTACAAATAGATGAAACATAAGCGTAAGATCAAAATAATAAACAAAAATAGTAATAACTTATTTTTGAGAAGCTGATGGATTTCTGATTTAAAGATATATATTCACGATTGTGTAACATTATATAATGTCCCGGTCTAATTCCAGCTACTGATGGGAAAAATAATTAGAGCGGAAAATACGTCTACTTAATCACTCAAAATATACTATACACTTGTCACATTCAAGCTCATTCACGTCGATCTATACTTTAAAATGAAGTCAGTTACTGGATTTTATTATCTAGCGTTATTCATTCACCGAACGGAATCGACAGATACTCGTAAAGAATATGGCATTTCAGTACAGCAGCTCCATAATTAGATACTTTACTTCTGATGTGAACAAGTCATGAGATTTGATTCGATATCATTTTGAAGAGCTCGTATGTCAATAGTAATCGATCAACCAGATCCATAAAAAAGGATTGGATTACGGGAAAATGAACCTATACATGCCGTGTAAGACAATGAATCGAAAATTTGACGCTGTAACGTATGTATATCGTTTCAAGTTGTCATACCCCACTAGCACAGAGATGAAGTTGTCAGATCAAATCCAAAAATAGTAGAGGTAGCAACGCTATCAGCGGTAATAGGAAACATTAGGTATCGAAGACACGATTCGAGCAGACAATACAAATCAGTAAAATAAAAGCAAAAAAATGTCATGAGGAATCTAAGAATTTCGTGGGATGACAAAGAACGGATGCACCTACGCCATTGCGAACGATTTCGAGGCACGTTATTTAAAGTCTCCAACGATTAATTACTATAATCAAGCGGAAGCCGAGCAGCTAGTCGACATATGGCTCATTTTAATTGCGTGATGTCATGAGCTTTGCCATGTTTTGGCTTAGCCACATCTAACGGACAACCACCGTCACACCTCTAACAACATCCGGGAGTATCTTGCTGACGATCAAATCCCTCCATCACTTATTAATACATGTCATGTATGCACATATACAACAGGATATACGAACCGGTTACTACTGGATGTGACTTCAGACAGAAGCAAAACAATTTTGATGGATACAGGTACATCTATTAAACAAAGCCCCAAATAGTACGACATTTGAGTCCCGGATATCACACAGACAATAAGACAAGATTATGAAATGAAAGCAGTTAATTTAGAATTAAACCAATATTTTTAAACAGTAGAAAAAGTCTAGGCGACACTTTCGCTGAAGAATAATTACTATATTTTTGATAAGCAATTCAAACTAAATAACTGAAAACCTACTTAATAAATAAACAACATATATTCAGCAAATGTTATTTTATCACTTCACATTTTATTTGATTACTATGCCTCACAATTACCGATATGGAATATCAGCCTTAAGTCAGAGAGGCACCTTAGAAAATATATTTAAACAAATAAAATCCAAACACAGGATTTTCAATGAATAATCGAGTCGTCTTATATAAAACACAAACGTCTAAGATGTCCAAACAATTGGATTAATACTTTGGGAACTCTTATTGAATTACTGATGCACTCTACGGTAAAAAGTCATTAGCCTCCTGACGATTACATCATGTAGTCCTAAAAGTAATTACTGCAAGGACTGCTGACACTCAGTGGTAACACAATGTCAGTAACGCAGTGGTTCAGTATCGTATGTTCGGGCACAGCGACGATAATTCAATTCAGCCAGTCAGTTACAATGTAGGACCAGGCACATATATGCATCGGTTCAAGTTGCCACAACTCATTAACACAACAAGATGAACATCAAATTCATCGAAGTAGTTACTTCAATGGTAATAATACATAAAAGAAAGATTGCATATGAGGATATAGTACAGGAAGAAAGAATTAGTTCGTAGAAAGAAAAATATAAAGCAATTTTTATCTCACGGTTTAAGGGAAGACAGAGAGTGTATACACCTACTCCACTGTGATCGATTCTCAGCCATGTCGCCCACAGTCTCCAACCATTGGTCACAATATTCGCGTTGACCGCAACAAAGCAGTCCGCATCTATCAACATTGCTAGGACTAGAAGTTAGTGACTTCAAAAACTGATGCCACGTTTTAGTTTGGCCGCCTCTAACTTTCTTCCAACCATCACCAACACTAGTCAGCAGCATTACGCGTTGTGGTAATCAGTATTCAGGCATACGTAGCACGTGGCCCAACCATCTCAGTCGGTGAAGATTTACAACCTCATCAACTGATTTACCATCATTCCCTAATACCCTATGTCCAACCTCACTATTATTTAGCCGGTGATCCCAGCAGATGCGAGCAATATTTCTAAGGTATCTGTGGTTAAATACTAGTAGCTTACGAATATCTTATACTCTTAATGGCAACGTTGCGCAGTCGTAAAGTAGAACATAACGAACTGTTGGGCAGTATACTCGTCCCTCAATTGATATACGGATATCTCACCTTCACCATAGGCGACGTAAGTTGGCAAAAGCCAAACGAGCTTCCTGAATCCGTGCTGAGATTTTGCCAGACACCAACTAAATGAGCAAGTTTAGAGTTGAAATAGGAAGAATGATAGGAATTGAAGAGAGATATTGATTATGAATACAGTGATTTTGGGTGCTAGCCCACAACGTGAAAGCGTTCTTCTAGAGGTACCTGAAAAGGAAATTAGTTCAAGGGTGGTCTTAGCATTCCGGCTCAGCGAACAGATAATGGTGATCGTTTGCTGCAACTGTGCTCAGACAATCGTTTATTTCTAGCAAACACCAATTTTAAACATAAGGAGACATAATCTTATACGGCGACCCCTTGCACCAAACCAACGATGGACTCAAATAGACCATATTGCCATCAATCATATTTGAAGAGAGTCGATAGAAGATTGTTGCTCGTTCTGGAATACTTGCTTAGACTCCGATCATGCATATACCTGCGCCTCTCTGGACGCAGGAAAACCACATTATAATTGAATTGAGTAATGATAAAATCAAAAGTAGGTTCCAGGAACGACTGAGGCCACACCTAGGTAGTTCTGAAAACGAGGCCGATCTAGATGTTGCTTGAAAAGATATACAAATAGCAGTGACATCTGTTAGTGATTTGAACCAGTTACAAAAAACCAATGGATTTCTTCTAGGACTATTGCACTGATGGATTCTCGTAAAGTCATATCATCAGGCTGTCAACACGATGATGAGCGAAAGCAAATCAGATCTAGGTTAAGCAAAAGTCTATGGAACGACTGTAAGCAGTGGCGGGCAACGAAAGCAAAAGAGATAAAAAAGGCGGCTGCTGTAGGTAACACAGGACAACCCTTCAGACTCATAAAGGAAATTGGAACTAAAAAACCAAGTATGAGTGAGACCATATCGGAACAAGACAACACTTTCATCTGCTTCCAGCCCAGACGTTTAAAATAATGGGCGGAACACTTTAAGGAGCAGTTCAGTTGGCCTTCAGCAACTCTACAACTACCCACCATTTCCAGACAGCGTGAATAGAGTACTGAAGTAGGTCCCCCGACTCAAGCTAAAGTTCAAAAGGCTATAGCTAATCTGAAAAGAGGAAGAGCAGCTGGTCCAGATGCATTGGCTTCAGAGGTATTTAAGTATGGTGGTCTAATTCTAGAGATTAGGTTGACTAATATTTTAGCTAAAATCTGGGAGTTGGACGTAATCCCACCTAACTGGTCACAATCACTGATTTTCGCAATATATAAGGGGTCAAATTCATCCTGCGATAACCATAGAGGGATTAGTTTGATCGATCACAACAACGTAGGCGTATACATCCTTTGTCTTCCCTTAAAGCGCGAGATTAAAATTTTTATACCTTTCTTCCCATGAACCAATTCTTTCTCCTTGTATTATATCCTATTACGCAATCTCTTTTATACATTTCTATCATTGAAGTAACTACTTCGATGAATTTGGTGTTCAACTTGTTTTGCTAATGAGGTGTGGCATATATGTGCCCGGCCCTAAGTCGTAGCTGACTGACTGGTGTTATTTATGCACTATATATATTTCTATACGTTTAGTGACTAGTCGTAAATAAATTTATATGATCGTCCGTTTATTTAGAATTATTCGTCATCACATTATAGCCTCAGAAAAACCTATCTGTATTAATAAGTACGAGGACCTAACTGTAACCAATACCATAAAACAACAAATAGATTATTACACCCAATTATAGCTAAGTAACGAGAAAAACCTGGAAAATAAGATCAGGTTTACTAAACATTCTGAATACTAGTTGTCAGGAGTACACGTAATTTCCCCTACAATACCATTACCTCCCTAACAAAATAAAACCAGGTAATCAAAAGTCCAACTAGTCCCTTTGATAAATTTATATAATGTAATAAAATACCAAGACTATCAGAACTATGATATATAAGCCCAATGAATTTCGAAATATCTTATCATATTTACCTGTTGAAGCATTTATACATAAAAAAGAGGTCAACTGCGCAAATTGATCGGTGTGAAAAACTTAGCGAGCCATACAACTGAATAGTAAATCAATGAAATCAAGGTACGTACCAATCTTTTTTAACACCATGGTGGTTTGAACTTTCGTACGACTAAAGCTTTAACACGCCTAAGTATTCGATTTGGATGACTTTTTAAGAAAACATAAAGGCTGAGTTAAGATCAATGTAGTGGTAATTTGGAGCTCTAATGACAGCAGATTGAAATGCCGAGTAACATATTCCTGTGAAAAGCATTCAGCTACAGCTTCTTTACTAAATAGAGTTGTTCCGCCATCATCATGTCAGTCATGCAAAACTAACGATGAAAATAAATAAAATGAACCATCGAGTCAACAATTTCGCTGAATTAGCTTATGCATATTATTAATCACCCTATAAGTCAAAATCACTACAACTACTTTCGTCTATTTTCAGAGCAATACCTTTTCGTTTGATAAAGCAAAACAATTTTCCTTAAATGTGATCTGTGAATGATTTGGAAGTCATTAATATGATAAGTTATTGCTAACAAAGTGAACAGGAAATGATACAGTTTTAGACATCTTAATAGGTCGAATATGAATGCAACGATAACCTTCGCCATATCCTCTTATATATGATATCACTGGAGAGTTGAATTATTACGAATAACACGTTAAAGAAACAAGTCTAACACTACAAAGAATTACATCAAATGGTTTTATATGTACTTTAACGTACAAAGTGGGAAATATTAACAGTGATTTATCAGAATCTGAAATAACTCCGTTAATTCGCAACCTGGACGAGCGTTATCGTCTCTCCTTTTAAGAGGATCCTTCCTGAAAGGAAACAACTCGAAATGAAATTACAATACTAACCCAAAGGTCTTTTAGCTCCTGACTTCATGTGCCTTTCACAAGCGTCAGCCAACACTAGGTTCATGTACTCGTCAAAACCCTGTGTACAGTGGTGAGCAACAAATTACTGACGTACAATTATCACTCCTTCAATTCGTAAGTTACACTGTTCATACAGCCATACCCTCACACGTGCTTTCTAGGAAGAAGTATTACATAGACAGTCGTTTCAACAAAATACCTTCTGCAAGAAATTATAAACAACACCCTGCAGTTACCAATAAGCATACAACAAAGGAACTTACAATAGGAGGTTGGATAGCTTTGTAAGATCTACCGCCTTCTCTGTGCATCGTGCTCGAAAATTCAGTGTAAGCGCTTGAGCTAAAAACAAATTCTTTGTTAATATCCTCTACGTTCCAATGTCCAATCTATTCGACGACAAACTTCGAGATAAGAAAAGAAATTCGATGGTTATTTGGCTCACGGTTAAGCGGCGATTCATGGTTTTTCTGAACTGAAGGTTCTTAGTAGAGTTTGTGGGTTGTAGACAGTAATGTCTTAGGTTATGCACTGTTAAAGTATTCATTGATATCTGAATCTTTCTCGATACAGTTAAAAAAACCCAGGACAGTTCAAACATCGTTGTCAAGAGCTTGTATAAACCGACTGATTTTTTTCGACCCCTTCTTGTTGTTTCGGAACGGTTCTAGGTATCTGGTAATGTCCAGTGGGTTGTAACATATCCACTTACTTACGCTTGTCACCCTTCATGGAGGGATATAGGCCGTCCACCATCATTCTCTATCCAGCATTGTCCAGTGTCTTTTCCTGATCTCCTCTTCAGCTGTAAGTTAGTTTGTTCTCTCCCACAGTAGGTTGTTGCTGATGGTATCTAGCTAACGGACATTCAGTATCTTATGTTGACAATTGTTTAGAAATACTTGTACATTTTTGATGATGGTTGTTGTAGTTCTCCGAGTTTCAACTCCATACAGTAGGACTGTCTTAACATTCGTATTGAAGATTGTGACTTTGGTATTGGTTGATAGTTGTTTTGAGTTCCATATGTTCTTCAACTGTAGGAATGCTGTCCTTGTTTTGCCAATCCTTGCCTTCACGTCTTGAACGAGTGAGAGGGCAAACACAAATGTTAATGAAAGTGATACGAAGTAGTTACTGACATATGGCACTGAGAACCATATTACGTTATGAGATACATTAATGAAAATAATGCCGGGCGTTGTGGCTTTTCGTCGTTAGACCTAACTTTCATATCAATCATCCATCTGGATGTCCATCTCTGTACTTATTTAACAAGTTTTCATCTGTTCTGAAGTGAGGGAGGGCGACGTTGCTATAGACGTCATGATTATGCCGTGCATACGTTTTGAAGAAAGTTAGAAACAACTTTCTGGTGATTACACCAAGTTATCTTCTCACAAAGTGCAGTTCGAGCTGACGTCTGTGCTCCCTGTGGTTACTAGTCTGAGATAACGCTCCGAGGAGGCGATCAGAAGTGAATATTCACGAAGAGTGTAAATGATCTGTATCTAAATCTACAGAATATTTATGACAAGACATTTCGACGAAATATTTTTAAACCTTTAGAATACTGCTCATGTCTCTGCTAATGTAGTTTCCTTTTGAAGATTAAGTGAACCATTTTCACTCTTATGGACTTCTAGATTTTTGCGTTGCCTGTAAAGATTAGTGCTCACGAGCAAATTTTACTCCACAGGTCGTTAATAAAGATCACGATATGAGTGAAGCTTAAATCGTTCCTAGAAAAATCCTGATGTTGAGATCTTGCAACTCACGGGCACTCGATTTACATCGATACGAAACATCTTATCCTTTAGGTAGTTTTGCAAACAACATAAATGTAGGGCAGTGAAACTCGTCTTTCCACTCTTTGGTGTGAGGAGTACATGCAGTACTGTGCCAGTGGCTTTCACTAAATCTAGTGACGCCTGAATAGGCCTCACAGCGGTGTGCCAGTAGCCTCTGTGCACTGTTTCAGGGTTGTATCTCGAATGCTCAAAACCTGACGGTTTTCCTGGGCGCAAGAATTCTAGTTTTTCGACTAATAACCCAGAAGTTAGTTAGAGATCACTCAGACCCTCAACTGGTGATTTGTCTGTTTACAAGTACAAATCCCTGGTCCGTAGGTTTACTCTTATTCATGAATTTGTAGAAATATTTAGTGTTGGTTTTCGGTTCGGCTGCTAGTTTGGAATGAAAACATCTCCGATTGCCTAGAACTTTGGCATGGCATCTGTTTCTCAATATTATGTAAGTTACGTTCAGAGTCCTTCAAGGAGACTTTCCAGTTGTGCCAAGTTCTCCGTTTGGCCTGTAGCAAGCGTTACGTGCGTCGCCTAACCCGGGCTCTTTGCTTTCCGCTTGTGTCATGACCCTGAGTTTCATTGTGTTCGATAGGGTTCCGAGTGACGTTTCTCACTATCTCCCACTGGATGCATAATATAAGCCTCCAACACACTCGTAGTCAGGGTTAGTATTGAACAAGCTCACACATCGCCGTGTAGTCTGCTTCAATGTAGCTAGAGTAAAGAACATTGTGGTCCCTCCGAAGTATCTCGTTTGTGACAACGTCGAACATGACCATATCATGATCGCTACTGTATTATGTGCATGGACACGGAAACCGTCAAATAGAAGCTGATTGTTTGTCGATAAACAACGTAGCTTTGAGGGTATTTTGTCCAGGATTGATCTCGTGGCATCATCCATATGTTCAGTTAGTCCTGAACTTCTAATGGCTGTTCGCAAGACGTTTATGGAACTACATTGTAGGGGATGTAGCTCTTGCTGAGATTTAAGGATGGAGTGTCTAAATCTCCGGTTTGTAATATCTGGTCAAGTTCCAGGTATGATAGACTAAGTATCGCCTGTACAATTTCATAGTTTTGGCTGTTTGAACCTGAACGAAGTCGATATATTCCTCTACCCAGTTGCTTCGTGACGTTCATAGCGGAGGAATACCAGCGCGATTCTGTCTTCTTGGTTAAGTCAATGCTATGTGATGATTCGGTTTTGAAGCGAATGTTAATGTATAACGTCATCCCACCCCCTGTTTCGCGTACTATATTTTATCTAAAAAATGTTATACCTCACAGACCCACCCTTCCATTCATGATGCTTAATGTCAGACATGTTGCAGTTAGGACCATGATCTTCAGACTTAACAGAAAGCACATGTTTCTAATTTTCCCTAGTTTACTCCTCAGTTGTCTTACATTTTTACAGAGGCACTTGATAGTTTGTTTCATATTACGTTAATCCTCTATAGCTGCCACTGTTTTCTGGGTTTTCAGCAGGTGACTTCCTAAAGTGTGTTGGCTAGTTCCGTGAGGACTGTCCACTGTAGTTTTTTGCCTGTACAACGTGTCTCACTGTCGGAATTATTATCTATCTGTTCTAAAGCGTGGGTTGATAATCAGGGTCAAATGACACCATGATGTCTCATTGTGCGCTTTTATCGAAGGTTGACCTACATTTTATTAAGCTACTTTTCGTCATTGGAACACTAAATAAAATCATGGAGTTTTGTCTGACATTACTCCCCCATCATCAGTCTTCTGGGATCTAGATTTTTATCATTAGCATTCCCAATGCCCACAGTGTTGTTTACTGATGCTAAAGTGTTAGCGACAGTGGGTAATTTCGCTGGCGTATGCGTCCGGGTCAGGCCTACGATGGTCATATGTTTGGCTTGGTTCGTGTCTGTGTATCTAGATATGCTGATGGGTTTTGATACGGTTGCTTTCAGTGTGACCTATGTTTCTCTTTTAATACGTCTGTTGGTGTGTTTATTCTGAAATGTGATCAGCAATACCAGAATCACGGATTGAACGACATAACATAAACCTATAGTGCTGTCTAGGCACTGCAGCATCACAGAGACAGTGAACATATGAACAAACTGAAAGACTTGTTAAAATTCTGAAGATAACCAGGGCGTTTTGCCCCACAAACATGTACGGATTGAAATAATCGCACTCACCCTCATTGCTTGCTGGTCAATAACTCCAGCCCCTTCTATTATGTTACGCTCCTTTAAGTTGTTGAATGAAATGCAGTTATGTCTTACTTACAGGCTCTGCTTTCCACATCCTGTGAGAAAACACTTATTCCTCCAGCGCAGTGAGCAAGCATGTCGGACAGTTAAAGCTGGTAGGCCAATTATCGAGCATAGAACAGTAATGCACAGTAGGATGAAATAGAGCGTGGAGTTAGATAGAATAGTTATGAATTCTAATAATTTTAAGGCCATATGCACGGATTTGAAATTAGGCGGTTGAACAGCAGCATGCGCGGTAATAGTAGAAAACTAATAGTATAAGAATGGGCTCACATTTTTATCAATGGTGATGCTTTTGAGAAAAAGTTTCAGAGTATTTCTGATTTCTAACCTGATTAGTCTCTAGTTGCATTAAGTTTTATCGAGTCGCGGTCCAGGTTATTTCTAAGAACTAATGTGTGCAACATAATAATCGTAAAGATCAAAAGAAAACACAAGAAACGGTTATTCAACAGCTATAAGAAAGAATTATGTTAAATTTATGTTTGACCTAATCTTAGCGATTGAAATTTTAATAATCCCAACGCTTCTTCCAGCAAACTTGTTTGAACTTCTTTAGGGTAGTAATCAAAATCATCAAAGAAATATATAGCGTTTAACAATCGAATCGAATTAAGTCTATACGGTGCTAATCCAATCACATTTGGATGTTGACTTTGGTAAATGGGGTAATATTAATAAATTAAATGCAAATTATATTAAAAGTTCATGATGTAAAAACAAATGACTGAACTAATTGATTGAAGTGTTCGAGTGACTTGGGACTTTGCGCAAACTATCGTGCAGATTTTAAGTCTTGAAATAATGTATGTTGGGGAGAAAATCTCTTAGAACAAGAACCTTGTTCGTTCGATTCCAATGTACAATACGGTGGATTACGATGATTATTGCGAACTGGATAATGAAAGCACTAGTAGTAGTAGCTGCAACATTTGCCGATGTTACTTAAGTTATTTAAGTTTTGACAGTTCAGTGGTATGAGTACTGTTGAAGTATATATGCAGTGACAGTGACAAGCTTGCATTAGAATCGGAAAAATCGTAGAAATTGATGAAACGGTTATCAGAAGACGAAATTTCAATAGAGGAAGAAGTGTCGGAGAAGAATGAGTAAGCAACGCCTCTTTAAATATACTTAGCAGGCCTTTGGTATATGATCAATAACCTCAGAAGGGACACTTCCGACACGTTACAACGTGACAAATTACGACTGCCATACCGATTGTACGATACTAAGTGCTGCCGAGTACCACACCACATAAGTAACTGGAGAGAATATCGGCCACTATTTAGGTTTGGTTACGTGCATCGTATCGTCGTTTACAAGCTGCATTTGGTAGGCCACACCACGGGAGCACATATCAATAATATAGAAGCAATGTGATGGTGGCTATAAAAAACTGTTATCAAATATCAATTCAGTACATGAAAATCCTGATAACTTTATGGATTTTGAACAAACTGCTGATAATAATCCGTTGAATATGAGTGCTTCAGGTAGGGACCTGCTCTAGACTCGATGCTTTTATGTGCAATAAATCAATTATTCATACTCATACACGTAGGTTGATGGTGTATACAAG